GCTCTTCCTGGGTATGTTTCCTCCTACCCATTTTCTCCTTATTTCTTGTCCTTTCCTTTTACCCCCTTTGCCTTTTAGATATTTCATGCTCTCTTTAGATGTGAGACCCTGTAAATCCTGGATTCCATATCTCTTCTACAATCTGGTTTCAAAGAGATGTGAGATTTTCATCAACGGTGGCTGTAAAGGGAGTAAGAATAACTTTCACAGTGAGAGAAAGTGTCTGTGAAGATGCAGGAACTTGCATGAATGTTGATTCACAGGATGAGGCTGAGGGATGGACATAGAAGTATGAGCCAGTGGGTAAAGGGACTAAAGCCATGGGGGAGCATTAGGTATGGGCTAGTCCTGGGTTGCAGGCTGGGTAGCCTGGCCAGAGAGCTTTTGGCCATGGCCAATGTGATGAGCAGCGAGAGACTTAAGGATGATCTGTGCAAGATAGATGGACAAAACACACCAGTGGAGAAAGCTAGACAGAGAAAAAGAGCAATGCTCAGCTGGTCAAAACCTTCTGGCCTATGGCTCCTCTTCCTTAGATCACTGGCTTCCTTTGTGCTGTGTATGGTCAACTGGAAAGGCTCCATTAGCTAACCCTCTAGAGCCCCCCCAGAGATGTACCATCTGTTTTGGAATGTTCTAAGGCAGCTACAAAAGATTTGTACTTTGTGTGCATATGTGCTCTGGAAGGGAGGATGAGGAGGGTCAGGAAAGATGACTTTTGACCTTAACCTGGGTCTCTTTCTTGATTATAGCTTAGTGAGGAGTCAAAACAGAACCCTTGGGTCCTGGGCTGAGCTGTGGCTGGAGAATCTCCAGAATCCATCCCATTCTAATGCTGGGGGAAAGCAATAAATATATTCCTATAGCTGCAGGGCCATCCTTTTCTGTCTCTTTTCCCTTTCTTAATTGGGTTATTTTTAGGCAAATTAGTAAATGTCTCTGGGCGGGGCTTCGTTGTCTGGAAAAAGAAGAGCATTGCTCTAGTGTTACTAATACCTCTCCCAGCTCTCACCTTCTGTGTTCTATTAACATGAATTCTTAACCTGGGGTCTATCAACTTGTTCTTTTTTTTGTAATATATTAAAAAAATTTTTTTTGGTTACATTTTGGGTTCTAACCTGTCTCCCTCTCTCCCTCCCTCCCAATCCCACATTAGAGAAGGCCAACATTTGATTATATATATATATATATATATATATACACACACATACATACATATCTATATATATATCTATCTATATAGATATGTATGTATGCGTAGCCATACAATACATACTTCCATTTATCAGTTTTTTCTCTGGAGGTGGATAGCAACTTCCTTCATAGGTCCTTTGTGGTTGATTTGAATGTTCATATTATTCAGAATGGCTTAGTCGTTAATGGATAACTCTTCATACAATATTGTTGTTACTGTATACAACATTTTCTTAGTTCTGCTTGTTTCACTCTGCATTATTTAATACAAGTCCATGTTTTTCTAAAATCAACTTGCTCATCATTTCTTATAGCACAGTAATATTTCATCACAATCATATACCCTAATTTATTCAGCCATTTCTCAATTAAAGAGCATCCCCTCAGTTTCCAGTTTTTTGCTACCACAAAGAGAACTGCTATAAATATTTTAGAACATACAGGTTATTTTCTTTTTTCCCTGATCACAGGGAAACAGAACTAATAGTTATATTGTTGGGTTAAAGAGTATAGGCAACTTAATAACTCTTTGGGCATAATTATAGATTGCTCTCCAAAATGGTTGAATCAGTTCACAATTCCACCAACGTTATATTAATGTTCCAAGTTTTCCACATCCCTTTCAACATTTGTTATTTTCCCCTTCTATCATTTTAGCCAGTCTGCTAGGTGTGAAATGGTATCTCAGAGATGTTTTAATTTGCATTTCTCTAATCAATAATGATTTAGAGCATGTTTTCATATGATTATATATAGTTTTGGTTTATTCTTCCAAAAACTGCCTGTTCATATCCTTTGGCCATATATTAATTGTAGAATGATTCATATTCATATAAATTTGACAAAATTCTCTATATATTTGAGATATGAGGCCTTTATCTGAGAAATTATCTATAACATTTTCCCCACAATTTTCTGCTTTCCTTCTAATCTTGGCTACATTGGTTTTATTTGTACAAATCCTTTTTATTTTAATGTAATCAAAATTATCCATTTTACATCCTATATAATGCTCCCTATCTCCTGTTTATTCATAAATTCTTCTCCTCTCAATAATGTTTCATTATTCGTAATAATATATTTCATGTTTTTCTAATTTACTTATAATTGTCTCCCTTTATGTCTAGGTCATATATCCATTTTGACCTTATCTTGGTAAATGGTATAAGATATTCATCTATACCTGGTTTCTGTCAGGGTGCTTTTCAGTTTTCCCAACAATTTTTACCAAAAACCAAATTTTTATCCCCAGAACAAAAGTCTTTATGTTTATCAAACACAAGGTTACTATAATAATTTACTAGTTCATATTGTATGTCTGCTCCATTCCACTGATTCACCATTCTGTTTCTTAGTACCAAATAATTTTGATAATTACTGCCTTATAATACAATTTAAGATCTGGTACTGCTAGGCATCCATCCTTTACATTTTTTCTTATTAATTCCTTTGATATTCTTGACCTTTTGTTCTTCCAAATGAATTTTGTATTATTTTTTCTATCTCATTAAAATTTTTTTGGTAATTTAATTGGGATATCACTGAATAAGTAGATTAGTTTAGGTAGAATTGCAATTTTTATTATATTGGCTCAGCTCACCTGTGAAGAATAAATATTTATTTATCTATTTATTTATTTATTTAAATTTTTTTGGTAGAAGCTCTTTATTAGCAGAATTGCGTCTTCAGAAAATTGTGAAGCCATTCACCTGGACCGGGTCTAGTTCCTAACAAAAGTTGGGCTTTCCCGAACACACAAATAACCGACAACTTTGAAGTTGCCAACACTTAATTACCACCTCCCAACAAGGAACGAAGACGGCTTATTGTATGAAATAAGCAGGGGGTCAACAGGCTACTTCTCTAACTGTGAGTTTGATAAATGAGCACAATCAGCTGCGCATAACCTGGCTGAGACAGCTCCTGATTAGCAGCACTGGAGGCTTACGGTGAAGGCTGGCAAATCTTAGATCCCTGTGAGGCAGGTGCTCTCTTATAACTCCTTAGAACACAAAACAAAACACAGAGGTTATTGTGATGACTTCTTCAAGGCAGGGCTTGAGCTTGCTTCTTTTTCTTGACAGGAGTAACTTGTTTCATTATGATCTCTGCCTCTTAAGCGTAACCTCAAACATACAAATGCTACACAGAGATGCAGATAAGAGTGATTTAAACTATATCACAATATGCTGTACCCGAACACATGGATGCAATTTATGAAAATATTTAGGAGCAAGACAAATTTAACAGTTTCTTGGGGCTTGGGTTTTGTTTTTTTTTTTAATGTCTGTATCTTGGCAGACAGTTTCTGAAATGGGAGGGCAGTAGTGGTAATTTACTTCTTATTGGGAGCAATGAGGCGACTGAGTGATTGATGGATGGATGGATGGATTGAGGGATGGCATGGTAAGGGGGGGAGGTGGTCTTGATGTAGAATGTCTTTCATTGCGCTGGCCATTCTTTATAATCCAAGCTTGGTTCTTCTCCAGTGTCTCCTTTTTGAGTTGTACCTGATCTTATTTCCAGTTTTCATTTGAATCCATTGAGGGATGGGACGATTCTGCTTCTGTTTCTTGGCCAGGAACCTCTTGATTCTGAATGTTTTATGAGAGGACATGATGATGAGATGACAGCCGAGCTTCCACGATGATGGCTGGGTGGGCAAAAAAGAAGAATAAACATTTCTCCAATTATTTAAATATGACTTCATTTATATAAAAGGTATTTTATAAGTATGATCATATATAGTTCCTGGGTTTGTTTTGGCAAGTCTACTTCCAGGTGTTTCATATTGTCTATAGTTATTTTAAGTGAACTATCTCTTACGATCTCTTCTTGCACGGCTTTGCTGGTGATATATAGAAATGCTGATAATTTATGTGGGTTTATTTTATATCCTGCTACTTTGCTAAAATTATTAATTGTTTTAACTAACTGTAAGATATTCCAAGTATACCATTGTACTGTTTGCAAAAAAGAGATAGTTTTATTACCTCATTGCCCATTCTGATTCCTTCAGTTTCTTTTTCTTCTCTTATTGCTATTGCTAGTATTTCGACTACAATATTGAATAATATTGGTGATAACAAGCATCCTTGTTTTATTCCTTATCTTATTAGGAAGGCTTCTAGTTCATTCCTGTTGCAGGTAATGCTTGCTTATGGTTTTAGGGAGATGCTTCTTATCATTTTAAGGAAAAAAATCCATTTATGGCTATATTTTCAAGTATTTTCAATAGGAATGAATGTTGTATTTTGTGCAAAACTTTTTCTGAGAACTATGGATCTAAATGCAGATCGAAACATACTATTTGCTCTCATTTTTTTCTTTTGTTTCTTCTTTCTCATGGTTTCTCTCATTGGTTCTAATTCTTCTTTACAATATGACTAGTGCGAAAAGTATGTTTAATATGAATGTATATGTATAGCCTGAATCAGATTGTACTCAGTCTTGGGGTTGGGGGAGGGGAAGGATGGGGAGAAAATTTGGACCTCAAAATCTTAGGGAAGTGAATGCTGAAAACTAAAAATTAATTAATTAATAAATATATTTTTTAGAAAGTTTTTTCTGCATCTATTGACATAATCATATGGTTTTTGTTACTTTTGCTATTGATATAATCAATTATGTTAATAATGAACTAGCCTTGCGCTCCTGGTATAAATCCCACTGGTCACAATGTATAATCTTTGTGATATATTGTTGTAGTGTCCTAGCTATTATTTTATTTAGGATTTTTGTATCTACATTCATTAGTGAAATTGAGCTATAATTTTCTTTCTCTGTTTTTGTTCTTCCTGGTTTAGGTATCAGTACCATATTTGTTTCATAAAAGGAGTTTGGTAAGGCTCCTTTTTTTGCCTATCCAAATAATTTATTTAGTATTGGAATTAGTTGATCTTTAAATGTTTGGTAGAATTCACTTGTAAATTCAAGTGGTCCTGATGCTTTTTTCTTAGGACGCGCATTATGATCTGAAAAGGATGCATTTAATATTTCTGCATTTAACTATAAAGTTTTTATGCCCCAATATATGGTCAGTTTTTGTAAAAGTGCTATGTAAAAAGGCATATTCCTTTCTATTCTCATTCAGTTCTTTCCATATATCTATCACATAGATTTATCTAAGTTCCCATTCATCTCCTTGACTTCTTTCTCATTTATTTTTGGTTAGATATATCTAGTTCTGAGATGGGAAAGTTGAAGTCCTCCACTCTTATAGTTTTGCTATTTCCTCCTGTAATTCATTCCTTTTCCTTTAAAAATGTGGATGCTATAGCATTTGGTGCATATATGTTTAATATTGATAGTACTTCTTTATCTATGGTACCTTTTCAACATAATGTAGTTTCCCTGCTTATCTCTTTTAACTAAATCTATCTCAGTTTTAACTTTGTCTGAGATCATTTTTGCCACCCCTGTTTTTTTCATCTGCTGAAGCATAATAAATTTTTCACTAGCCCTTTATTTTTGCTCTGTGTGTCTCTCATTTTAAAATGTGTTTCTTGTAAACAACATATTTTCAGATTCTGTTTTTTGATCCATTGTGTTAACTGCATCTGTTATTGTTAACTATATCTCAACAGAATTGGTTTCCTGTGTACTTTATTTTATGCACTGAAAAACGTGCTTCTGGGAAGGAGTCTTTACCAGATGGCCCAAGGGGTCCAGGACACAAAAAAGATAAAGAGCCTCTTTTCCAAGGTACTTTCCAAACTTACCAAACTTGATCCTAAGGTCTCTTCTACCTCATACTCTGTTTTAAGGTTCCTTTCAGTTCTGACTTTCAATTGATTAAAAAAGAATTTATTAGGCACCTATGTGCAAGCATTGTCCTAAGCACAGGGGATATAAATAGAAAAGCTTTGATGTTTTCTGTACTCAGGGTCTTTCCAGTTTTGTGAACTCTGTCTGAGTTGATAACTGTTTAGCAAAGTGGGACTATAGAGGACATTAATTTAATAAGATGGCGGGAAAGGCCCAACATACCTGAGGAATTTAGCCATGAAGTGAGGGGGAGAGAGGTGGACCCTGACCTAGGCAGGGATGGTTTAAGAAAAGGTCTTAGTTGAAGGTCCTGACATCCAAGAAGACAGCCCTATCCTGGAGTCCTGATGGGAGGGCCTGTTGGAAATGTAGTTTTATCATGGAACTGGGGCTTTTTCTTGGAGCCCAGACAGAACATCTACTGCCTATGTGACCTCGTGAAAGTCTCTTCCTCTTTCTGGTGTTCAGTTTCCCCTTCCATATAATGGTAGATGACATTTATGTAGTAGTTTACATAATTCCATTTGGCTGTTCACCCTGTGAAGTGGGTATTCCCATCTACTATTTTACAGATAAAGAAAATAAAATTCAGCGAAGTTAAATCACCTGGCTATGGCCATAGAAGTAGTTAGTGTCAGAGGTAGGATTTGAGCCCGAGACTTTCCCGAGTAAAGAGCACCAGATCTAGTGCTTTTTATATACTACATCATCCTTCCCCACATAGTTGAGTTCTAGGAGCTGTCCCAGTTCTAATCGCTGTATAGCTCAGGATACTATAGAAGAGCCTGGTTGTACCAGGACAGGAGCTAGGAGGTAACCAGGTAGAGTATTGTGGTACAGTTGGTTAGAGCTAGGACAATGATTGCCTTGGGTATTCTTACCTCCTCTCTTGGTCCTCATTATATACCTCTACCTTGAACCCATCATTCATCCTATTCTATTCTGAACCTGCCCTAAAATCTTCTCTCTCAGTGCATGCTGGGGTTAGAGCCAGCTCAAGGCATTGGTTTGCCCATGGTGTGCCATCCTCCCTTCCTATGAACCTTCATTGTGATGTATGTCACTTAATTTATCCCTGTAGGCTTTGGGGAGTGGCATTGATCAAAAGCATGCTCAGAAATGTCCTTTGTTATGAACATTGACATTTGGGGCCTCAGATGATTACCAGCCTTATTTAGTTCTAGCATTAGCAGAGGAACTTGGGGAACTTCAGGGAGCCCCTGGGATCTAATAGTAAAAAAAACCCAGATGGTAGAATAATCGACTTGGAAGGGACCTAAGAGTTCATTTATTCTAACCTCTTATACAATGCTGAAATCCCTTCTACACCATCCCTGACATCTGGGCATTCAGCAAATGCTTAGAGATTTTCTGTAACAAGTAGATCTTTTCCTCCAGGCATAGCCCATTCATTTGCTGATTAACATTGCTGATGGCTAAAAAGATCTTCTTAATATGGATATAATTAAGATATACTTCCTTCTGACTTTCCCACATTGGTGTTAATTCTGCCCTCAGAGGCCACACAGAGTTGGGAATCACACAGAAAGCTGGTTCCCCCTCCCCATGACAGCCTTTCACATATTTGAAGATAACAATCTTGTTGCTCCTCAGTCTTATTTTCTCTAGGAGAGGTGCAGCTACTTCTCTAATGCTTTGATTTAAAGTTTTTGCCATCTTGGCGGATCACACTATAGTTTGTCACTGTTTCTATAAAGTGTATTGCTCAGAACTGCCCATGATTCTCTCTATGTAATCTCATAAACTCAGAGGCCAATGGTACTATTATGATTGTTCATGCAGTCCAAGATGGCATTAGCTTCATTATTTATTTACTTAAATAAAAAATTCACACTCTTAACTTGTATTGTTCAACTAAGCCGTCATGTTTTTTCACATGTACTACTGTTAATCCAGGTCTCCTATAATCTGTACTTGTGCAGTTGAATTTTTGAATCTATTTTACACATACCTCCATTCAATTTCATCTTGTTAGTTTAACCCACCCTTTTTTTTTTATTAAGATAATTTTAAATCTTGATTCTGACGTCTTCATATCATTCCCAGTTCTGATAAATAGTCCTTTTAGGTCTTCATACTAACAATCGATAAAAACATGGAATAGAATAGTTCGGAGGTCAGAAACCTGGAGCCCCTGATAGTAACCTAATGCCCAAACTCTTCAGAGACAATTCCACCAACAGTGGAGCCATCCAACAGAACAATGACCTGGTTCCCATTTCTCCATCTCCACAAGAATCAGGGTGGCTGCCACCTTCTTAGCCTGAGACATTTTCCCAATTTCCCTTCTCCCCCTTGCCCTACCTCATTGCCAGGTCACCCTGGCCCTGAATAGGATCCCATTCCTGGTTTGTGTTGGAAGGCATTAGGGGGCAAAGATCAGGTTCTGAGGGAACTCAGGAGCAACTAAGTGAGCAAAACAAGAACCTTTATTGGGAAGTACACCAGTGAATGACATGAAAAGTTAGTAGAAAACCCTGGGATCTAGGGTGGTAGTGGTGGCTCCTGAAGTTGGGAAATGGGAGAGGCAGTGATGACTCATCTGGAAAGCAAACAGAAGAAATCAGTCATTTTTTCCCCCTGCTCACACCAAGTACCTTTAGATCTGTCCCACCATGGAAGTGGAGGTATGTGGGGAAACTCAGTATGGCTTCTCTCCTCCTCCTGGGGTCTTAGAACCCCCTCCTGCCCTCACACCACCCTCTCTACCTTTTCCCCTCTCTCCCTTCATTACTTCTGACTTCTTCTACCCCAGGTTAGGTGGGGGCTAGGTAAGCTTACCTGTAGATACAACTATCTTGACAGTCTTGAAGGGTCAGGAAGTTGTTTTTATTTCCACTGCAGCCCCTAAAGATAAATTTCTCACAGATACCTGTGGTGCTGTTGTAAAAGTATCTAGGAAAGTTCCTTTACAGTGACCAATCTTCTTTGGCTCAGAGCATAATTCTGCCACAGGGGGAGAACACAAGGAAATTTCGGGGGCTGGGGCCTGTAACTTGATGGGCATTCTCTTCACCAACTGGTCCTAGAGGCCTTGGCCATGCTTGGTTGCAGCATGCCATTGGGGAGCTAAGGTGGATAGGGCAATATGCCCAGTCTTCTTCCTCCCAACTCTTGTGCTATCATGAAAAGAGCTCTGGACTTAGATTGGACAAGTTACTTAGTCCCTCTGAGACTCAGTTTTCTCATTTGTAAAATTAGGTGGTTAATCTCTAAGGTTCTTTCCATCTGTAGAATCTATAGGATTCTCTTTTAGGATTTTTAGGATTTCTCTTTTTTTAGGATTTTTAGGATTCTCTTCTAATCTCTCCTCCCCTTCCTTCTCTCCCCTAGGTACTCTCTTTTTATTCACCCTCAAACTTATACATATATATACACACAAACTTCCAGTCTCTCACTAATGTGTCCTTCAAAATTCTAGTGGAAAGGGCCTCCTCGTGTCCCTGCTCTCGTGCAGGGAGGGCACTGTGTAGACATGGCTCTTCCTGCATACAGCTTGGGTTCCCAGTGCTCAAAGCTCCATATGTCTGCTGGGCTCCCAGATCCCTATTGCCTTGGGGCAGTCCTCCTGACAAAGATCATGGAATTAGAGCTCTAAGAGAGCTTGAAGCAACTATCTCTTTTCATGACCTTATTTTACAGATGAGGAAACTGAGGCCCAAGAGAAAGGAAGGAACTTGTCTAAAGTTCTGCAGATAGTAAATGATAGAGCCTGGAATTGAACCCACATCTTCAGTCTCCAAATCCAATGCTCTTTCTCCTATTCTGTACTTGTCCACCCTCCTCCATCCAGGAAAGCTTCAGAAAGTTTTTATGAAGGGTAAGAGTTGGCTTAGCCAGCTGGTTGAGAACCAGGTATAGATTACTGGCTTCAGGGAAAGAGATTCTCCTATGGCTGTTGGGATGCCAAAGGCAACAATTTCCTTTTCTACTGTTCCTCCAGCGTCAGCCTCATCTCTGAGTGGGGATGGAGATAGGGATAGGACACCCACCTATCTTTAGGAAGCCTCCCTGCTCATACCTAGTAATTCTTGTGCCTCTAATCGTGGAGGCAGCAGGAAGGAGAAGATGAACAGGGTCACGAAGGGCCAAAGAATGATGAGTTTCATGGTGTTTTTTGAGAATAGGAGGAGATGATCCAGAATTGGTGTTATATATGCCCAGCAGAGGTGGGGCTGGCAACCCTGGTTGGAAGTGAGCCCAGCCAGCCCACTAAGGACTCTATTACCCTAGAGGTTAAATCTAAGGATCATTCTGAGGCCCTCCGGGGAGTGCCCTAGGCATAACAGTGAGTACCCACACACCCAGCCATGAAGTTGAAGATGTCAAACTGCCTAGAGATTTTCCCACTCAGTTCAACTCCAAGGGATTCCAGAGGCTGTAGGGCTGAGGCATCTCTGGGATCAGGGCCCTGGACAATCAGGCCCCAATCTCGGGAGTAAGAGTCTTCCTCTTTTCCCTTTTATGCTACTTTAGGGATAGACTAACTTGGCACCACAAATTTTATGGTCCAATGGCTTTTGCAATTAAACCATTCCAACCAAGTGGACTGTCTCTGTGTGGGCTGGCTGTGGAGAGATGCCAGATCTAGATTCTAATTAGAGGGGAAGGGGTCCAGTTGTTCCCAGAAGCTGTTACTCATCCACCATAGGTGACCACTCCCTCCCCCTACCATTCCCCAGGGATTCCCTTAATCAGTCCATATTCAGTCCTACTGGCAGTGAAGATTTACAGGCCTCTATGGGTCATAGGCTCATGAGATTTAGAGCTGGAAGGGATCATAGAGAGTGTAGGTCCCCTCATTTGCAAAAACTGAGACCCAGAGTGGGGAAGGGACTTGCCCATGGCGACGTAGGCCGGAAAGACCAGAAATGGGATTTAAACCCAGGTCTCCTGACTCCAGAACCAATCCTCTTCTGACTATAGTCTATTGATCATAGGTATATTAGGAAACTCCTTTCATGCTCTGGTGGTTCCTTCAATACATGATAGTTTTTGTTGTTTTCCACTTATTATAAATCATGTCCATTTCTGGAAAATCCAATCTCTGCCTCAGGTGAACTAAGGAAATAAAAGTGGTCTCTATGCTTAGGCCAACGGAGTTGAGGCCCTTGGAGGTAGGTAGTAAGGGAAGAAGACACAGACGTAAGATTTAGAGGTGGCAGAGACCTTATAGATAATTTAGTCTGATCCTCTCATTTTTATTAATGTAGAAATTGAGGCCCACAGAACATAAGAGAGTTGCTTGTATTCTTACAGGTAATACAGCCAGAATTCAAACTAGGCCTACTGAGCCTGAAGTCAGGACTCTTTTTACCATATCACAATACCTCTCTGTGAGCTAAAAGAAGAGAGAGGTTTACTTCCACTCTAACAAATGGGAGAGGAGAGTAAACAGCCAGGAGCATGTGATCCCCCCTCCCCCAGCTTTGTAGTGGCAAGGGGAGGGAGCATTATATTTGAGGACTGCCTCCTCTACTCTATGTCCCCCCTCCACCTACCACTGTAGGTCTCTCACCTGTATTCATCCATCTGCTTCATAGTACATCATGTTTTCATCCTGGCTGTGCCTGGTTAGGTCTGGCCCCAGTCCAAGGAACAGTCCGCTCCTATCTTAGGAGCCCAGCAGTGGCCTGGGCAGAGGATGGATCTGGAATGGGAAAGAATGACCCACCTGTTTTTAGGAAGTAGGTATTAGTAGTGGGTAGTGAAATAAGGATGGGAACAACACTAGAAATAGCTGTGGGACCCTGCATTCTGAGTACTTATTGGACACTGGGTTTCTAGCTTCAGTGGGAAGAAGGGCCTTGGTTCAACTGACATTAGGTAGATCTTTATGATGGGGTACAGTAGAAGAAGATGATCGGATTTGAAATCAAAGGACTTTTGTTTAATCCTTGACTCTATTATTTACTATTAATGTGATCCTATGGTAGTCATTTCTGTCTAGGTCTCAGTTTCTTATTCTGCAAAATGAAGAAATTGGACCAGATGAACGTGTAGTAGTTTTGGAGCCAGAGCACCTGGGTTGAATTCTAGCCCCCTAATATCTGTGTGACCCTGGGAAGGACACTTAACTTCTTTGGGCCTCTGTTTCCTCATCTGTAAAATGAGGGAATAGGACTAAATCAGAGGCTCTTAACCTTTGAAAGTCATGGCTCCCTTTGCCAATTTGGTTAAGCCTATTGACTTCTTCTCCAAGTAATATTATTTGTTTATTTTTTAAATTCACAGTTGAAGGAAATGTTAAATTTTAGTTAGAAGTTAATGGAAATAAAGATATAATTTTTTCCCTGTCCAAGTTCATGGACCTTGAAATCTACCCAGTCACCTCCAAGGCCTGTAGACCTCAGGTTAAGAACTCCGGGAGTAGATAAACAAATGGTGGATTTGAAGTCAGAGACTCTCATGGGTTTAAATTCTAACTTCATCAAATCTGTTTGACGCTGAGAAAGGGATTTAATCTCTCTGGGCCTCAGTTTCTTTATCAGTAAAATAAAGGGGTTAGACCAGATGACCTCTAAGGTCTCTTTGAATTTTAAACTTATAATCATATGACCTTTCTAGCCTTGAATTCTGAGATCCTAGGTAGATAAAAAGTCCCTGCCCCAATGAGTTGTTCTATTCTAGATGAGTGGTTCTCAAATTTGTTGGTCACAGGTCCCCTTTATATTTTTGAAAATTAGTAAGAATGGGGTAGCTAGGTGGCGCAGTGGATAGAGCACCGGCTCTGAAGTCAGGAGGACCCTGAGTTCAAATCCTGCCTCACACCAAACCCTTGACACTTACTAGCTGTGTGACCCTGGGCGAGTCACTTAACCCCAATTGCCTAAAAGCAAAAAAAAAAGGGGGGGGAAGAAAATTATTAAGAACCCCAAAGAATTTTTGTTTGTATTGTATCTATTGGTATTTGCCATATTAGAAATTAAAATTGATAGCAATTTAGAAATATCTATCATCTCATTTAAAATAATGATAATAAACCCATTATAGTAAATAAATAACATTTTAGATGAAAAATAAGTATTTTCCAAAACAAAAAAGAGTAGCAGCATTTTGTATATTTTTACAAATCTTTTTAATTTCTGGCTTAATAGAAGGCATACCTTCTTCTGCATTCAGTCTGTTAGAATATATTGTTTTGGTTGAAGGACATGAAGAAAATCCAGCCTTACATAGATATGAAGTTGGAAAAGGAGTATTTTAGTAGGCCATTGTCTTAGTATTATTGTGAAAATAGTTTTGACCTCTGGACCTTTGAAAGGGTCTCAGGGACCCTCAATAGTTTTCAATCCACACTTTGAAAACTTCTATTCTAGATGAAATAAAACCCAGTCCATTGTTCAAGGACCAAGGAAGTGTGTTTAACTAGTTGGGCTGAGCCAGGTGTGAGATATTCATTGGACTCAGCAAAGATCAGTCTGCATAGCTCTACCAATGAGCTAGGGGGTAGGAGGATGGGCAAGTAACACATAACATTATGATGAGTTTAGAACTCAGGTCATCTGCCATTCATAGTCCATTGTACTTTCTATTATTTCAAAATGTTCCCTCTTGGGGGAGAGTAGGGGTTAGGGTGACTTTATCAGATAAGCCAGTTTACTGGTTGGGCCCTGAGGGGAATGAAATTTACTGGACAGGAATAACTAGGAGGTGGAGAATAGGAAGCAGGGAAGAGATAAGGTATTGGTGGCCAAAGGCCAGAGAAGGGGGCCATCTGGTAGGTGCTGAAGATCAGCTCTGCCAACTTTGCCATCTGCCCAAGTTCCTGACTTCTTGCTTCCTTCCTTCTCCTCCTCCCAGGTCCTGACTGCTCCCTATTTGCCATCTTCTACTCATCTGCCTTACTCAAATCCAATTCACATGCAAGTCAAGACATCACCCTTGTGGTCTTATTGGTCCTTTCAGAGAATGAAGGACAGGTTATCTTTGTTACCAGTCAGCTAACCAGCCAACCAGCCCTGGCCCATTGAAGGGAGGAATGAGGAAGCAGGGAAGAGAATAAATCATATTGAAGGTCCCTTCCAGGGTCCATACTTCTAGATATCTCCACTGTCCTCTGGAGGCTCCATGCAGATCCAGTGATGACCATTGTTAACATGACAGTGGTCTGTGGTGAAATGAGCTCATTTACAAGACTGACCACAACAAAAGAAGCTGTAAAGCACTATAAACATGTCACCTGTTATTACTGCTAATGTCAGTAATTGTGATGAGCACTTCGGGAGCCAGAATATTTCTCAATTTCGTAGAAAAATAGAGCTAGAAGAGATCTTAACTGTCTGTTGAATTAAATTAGAGATCATCTATTCCAACATCCTGGTACCTTCTCTCCCCCTGGGATTCTGGCTCTGACCTACCTTGGCCTTCAGAGCCAGAAGTGGAGTGCCATCCCCGTATCCAGACCAGATATATCTGGCCTCCATGTTTTCCACCAGGGCTTGAATACTAAGTGTTTTCACATTAGTGGGAAAGTGACCAGCGCTTGGCCCCAAGGCATTTGGACTCTGCCCTCTCCAGACCCTCTGTTTCTACTTCCCCTGAATGTACTACTTACGAGCTATGTGATTCAGGCAAGTCACAGTCATTCTGAGCCTTAGTTTCTTCAGCTGTAAAATGGGGATAATAATATTTCCAGAATCCTTCATAGGGTTGTTGTGAAGACTGAATAACTGAATGAGTTGTAAACCTTAGATGAATGTGAACCACTTCAGTATACTTCCAAAGACCTCCCATTTCATCCAGGTGGCTACTTCTTCCACTGACCACCATACTAACTCGTGTGACCTTAAGCAAATCACTTTCACTTCTTTGAGCCTCGGGTTCCCCATTTGTAAAATGAGAGTTTGGACTGTAATTATCCCAGGTCCTCTTCTCTTCTTTTTTTTAAAAATTAATTTATTTTGATTTATCAACAATTCCTCTCCTCTTCTTGATCTTATGCAAGCACTCCATGACTTAGTGGGTGTCTTATGAGTTACTGTGGCTAAAAACTGGTCCTCTTCCCTGGGTGTCTGGTAGTGGGCTTCACTGGGCTTAGGTAGGTGCGAGGCTCACTGGATAGCAGGTAGTAGACAGGGGTGGGGAACTTGTGGCCTCAAAGTTCTCCAGTGTGGCCCTTTGAGACCCACCCCTGCATTAGAATATTGCTTGGCCCACTGTCTTCGTTTTTTCCAACATGGCTGGACCCACCACAGCTTGTGAACTACTGGCATGGTCTTTGAGACCCCAGGGACCCCTCCCCACTAGGATGAAGCCCAGAAAGAGGACTTTATATTATTCTTTTGTTTTGTTTTGTTTTGTTTTTTGGCAATTGGGGTTAAGTGACTTGCCCCGGGTCACAATCTAGTAAGTGTCAAGTGTTTGGTCTGAGGCCGGATTTGAACTCAGGTCCTCCTGACTTCCGGGCAAGTACTCTATCCACTGTGCCACCTTGCTGCCCACCCACCACCGACTTTATATTATTCTTAAGGGGCAGGATGGGTGTATAAGAGTACTGGGCTTGGGGTCAGGAAGGCTTGGGTTCAAACACCATCCCTGCTGCTTACTTCTAGCTCTATGCTCTTACACCAGCGGGATCTTTAAGCCCACTTTAAAGTCCCTGGACTTCAGAGACACTCCCTGGAGTTTCTGTACTAAGTCATGGACTAGGTCCAACCTGTTTGCCTTAGTGGGCATAGCTCCCAGCGAAGAATAACTTCAACTAACTTCATGAATTTGCATGTCTTCTCATGATGCCAGAAGCAGAACAGCCAGGGAGTACAAACATCAGCATTTATTGAGGAGGAAATCAACCTGAAGAATCCCCCCCTTCCCAAAGCTGTGTTGCAGGATCCTAGAAGAGCAATGGGGGCAGAATTGAGGGGCCAGTGAGTAGAGCCATCTATTCCCCAAGGTCAGGGACCCCAGGAGGCCAGTGAAGTCCAGCTGTTCCTGGAGTTGAGGAAGCTCTGGGACATCAGGTCACCTAGTTCACCTGGGTTTCTAGAACTGAAAGAGATATTTAGTTACACAGTGTAGGGAGAGTTGGGGGTGGGGTGTCAACTTTGAGGTTTTGCTTTTCTGCCCCTAGGGTTCAGAAGATAAGTATCTTCCTCAACTGTTTTTTCCTATTCCCTTCAAAAACCTTTCATGGATCTTTCTTCTGTACAAGATTGGGCCCAAACTCCTTTAAGCCTAGCATTTGAGGCCCTTTACACCCTGGCTTCAAGCCACTTGTCCCTCCCCTCACCCTTACCTCCCACTTCTCCCCTATAGAAGCTTCCGGCTCCTGACTGCCTGGTCTCCTCATTGTCCCCTAGGTACACTGGGCACATTCCCACCTAGGCCCTTGGAATATCTTCTCCTATTCTCTTTTCTCATCTAAATTTTGCTTTTTCTGTAAGGTCCACCTCCTCCAAGAAGCCTTCCCTGACCATCCCAGCACACAGGGATCTCTCCTCCCTGTATAGATCGCTGACTATACTTTTCCCAGGGCACTTAACATAGACTGATTGGGGTTGTTATCTCTCTTGTTTTGTCTCTTTGTAGAGACTGGGGGCTCCCAGAAGGCACTGAGTTTACCTCCTCCTCAGCATCCCACCCAAATTTCACAGAACCCAACACATGGTAAGAACTTAGTAAATGAATCTAGGAACATGAAGGCTAAGCTTACCTGGAAGTATTTTGGGGATTGGAGTCTCTTTAAAGTTTTGAGGGGCAGGCTCCTCCTCAGGGGTCTGGGTGGAGTTTTGAGTTAGGATAGGGGCCACACAGAACTGGCCACAGCCAGACTTGCAGCATTTCTCTCCATGTGGACAGTTCTCATCAGTTTTGCAGCCCATTATACAAAGGCTCTGGAGGATAAGTGGACAATGGCCATTCCACCCTATGTGAAGATAAGGGAGGGGGAGAGGAACAGGTCACCAGCCATACCTTCCTAAGCTCCTACTTGGGACCCAGAGTCTTCTTCAGAGGCATAATTCAGACTAACTGCTGACTCTAGATCATGGCAACTGAAGTCAGAGGAGTTTAGAACTTGAAGGCCCCTAAGGAACTCATCTTCTAGAATGTAAGAAGCAGCATGTTGGGGATACAAAGAGCTTTGGTTTGGGAGTCGGGAGGCCTTGGTTTGGATCACTCTATGATTTGGAACCTCAACTGTTTCTTCATCTGTAAAACAAGAGGTTTGACTATATGACTTCTAAGATCTTTTCTGGCCTCATCATGCTATATGACTTCTGAATTCCCTCATAATTTTAGAGATGAGGAAAATGAGGCCCAGTGAGTTCCAAGGTGATACATTAATGGTGAAAGTTAGTAGTACATGAACCCAGGGTTCTGGATTCCCAGTCCAATAGCTTTTGTTACACTAACTTCCCTTCTTGGCCCATGTGATACCAAGATGAGTCCCTGGCCCGTCGAGGGGCTGAGCACTCCAGGCAGATTGAAGGTAATCTAGGGGTGGAGATGAAGGCAGAAATTCCTGTCCCTTCTCATCCCAGGTACTACCTCTGAGAATGGGCTCTAAGCAGTTTTTGATGATTGGATTCTGAAAGTGCCACCTTACCTCCTTCAGTGTTTCCCTGGCACATGTGCCCACAGCCTGTGCTGCAGCATTTCTGGCCATGAGGGCAGGAATCATCTCCATGGCATAGCTCTTTGCATGGAAGGAGATCCTTAGGGCAGAGGCCTGGTTTCTCTGTAAGAGAATCATGGACAGTCATAAGTAAGAAGGGACAATGTCAGGGTTAAAGGGCACGTAATACCCATAATATAAGAGATGGAAAGGATCTTCTGAGTCATTTAGTTTAATCTTATTTTGTAAAAGAAGAAACAGGCCCAGAGAAAGGAGACTAACTGGCCCAAGGTTACACTGATACTTAGTGGTAGAGTCCAGGTCTTTCAAACCCGGATTTTTTTTTCATTGCTGGGAACTTGTTGGCTACACCATTCTATCTTTAGGCCTGGGCTTCTTCCAGGAAGCCCTGCTGGCTAGGAGGTCTTAGAACCCCTTCCCCTACTCCTCTACTCCTCCACTACTCCTCACATAACCCTACCTCTAAGTACCTCCTCCAATATTCTCAATATGATTCCTGACTTCTTGGTTTCTGGCTTTGGGGTGGGGTGTGGGTTGGTGGGAGGGAGATGGCAAGGGCAAATTGTCTTACCTGATAACTTTGTAGCTGCATCCTTTAAAGTGATCCCCATATTTGCAGGAGCCTCTGTGGTGTTGTCAGTACTAGGAAGTGGTTCACTTGAATCCAGGGGAGGAGGTGAAGGATTTTTGTGGGATATCTTTGTAGGACCTATTATAGGGCATATATTAGGGAAAAGCAGAGGCACCAAACTAGACAGGGGGACATGTATGCCCCCAAGCATTTCTTCTCTTCTATGACTCATTAACACAAGCTAGGCCCCATTTCATCTGCTCATTCTCAGTACACCAACACACAATTCCAATTACTTAGGCTTTTGCACAACCCTCCCCGCTATGCACATAAAAAGATAAAGACATATAGTCAAACACAGACATCCAGACCAAGATCCAGAATAGCATGCCACCCCAAATGTCTGTGTATGCATGGGGATTACTTTGCCTCGTTCCATCCTGAGCTGTCCCAACCCAACCCTTTTCAGCCCAGCCCTCAGCACTCAGCCCATGCCAGGATCAGTTGGTGGTAATGTTGGCAAGAGGGGAGAGTGGCAGAATCAGTATGATTGTGACCCTAATCCCTCACCTGGCACTGCCGTGGCCCTGACAATGAACCCCAATCCCTGACTAGGATCATTTATCCCTGAACCTGGATCCTTAAATCCTGGCATTTAGCCTTAAACTCTTTTCTTGAGCCATGACCTCTGGATCTGGGTCCTGGACCCTGGGATTTAGCACCTAGGGCATTTGCCCTCTGGCCAAAGCTCAGGTGCGTGCTCTCTCTGTCTCTGTCTCTCTCTTCCTCCCCTCCAGCTCTTCTAGAAAGACTTGGATTCCCAGAATCTGTCCAAACACTGAGGATTCTCAACCTTCTTTGGGTGCTTATGTCTTTCCTGTACAAAGGAAGCCTCTATCTGGTGGGGATGGTTATAGCACAAGAAATGTTCTGAACCAAGTCAGGGACCCTAGGCCTGGCTTGACTCAGCTAGGATAAAACTTGATCTTCTGGCTACAGGGAAAGAGTACCAAGCACCCTCAACTCCCCATTGATTCTATAAGGCTAGCTCAGGTCTCCTTCCTATATGATCTTGACCCCAAGGATCCTTAAGCCCCCATTAAATAGATACCTTTAAAAAGGAAGCTTCCCGTCAGTGGAGGTAGCAGCAGGGAGAAGATTAGGAGCATCAGGAAGGGGCTGAGCAGGGTGGGCTTCATGGTGTTGTTGAGAGTGGGTGGGAGAGCCCAGTCTGGGGCTGGGATTATACCTGGGGGTGGAGACTGGTGGCCTCTGGGAGGGGCTGAGCTCAGCTTCCTCCAGACTTTGCCTCACAGGTCCAGATCTAAAAAGCATCCTTGCCCTCAGGGAAGTGCTTTGGGCAGGACAGCTTGTGCCTGGGCACCCAGACATGAAGAACCTTCAACAGGCCTGCTCCCTGCTGGTGGTGAGTATCTCTGCACTCCCTCAGGCTTGAGAGGTTCCTGATGGTTCCAGGATCAGATATGTCACCTGGATTTATCCAGAAACCCTCCTTAGTTGTTCAAAGATCAACTCAGGTGTGTGGGAGCAGGTCTGTATGGGTACAACACATCCACCATCAGAACCACAGACATTGCCTTAGAGCCAGGACCCTAAAGGGAAGCAGGAATGGGTGGAGAGAAGAGTGTTGCCTGAAGGGAATGTGTCAGTAACAGAGGAGAGAACTTGGGAATTATTCCCAGAGGAGATCGTATCAGAGAACCTGGGGTTGGAATCATTATGTTCTTCCCTTTGCCTCCAGACAGGATCTTTTCTTTTCTTTTCTTTTCTTTTTTTATGAATTAAGCAAACTTTTATTGAAGCATTAAGTTTTGTGGTACAGATTTTAAAAATACATTTTAACTGATTAAAGTCCAACACCATGAAGAAAGAAATTATGACACCAAAACTACCCCTCTTCTAATCATACTGGATTAATTTAGATTAATATCCTTTCAACAGCTTTCACTTTTCTATCAGAACCTTATGTTTTCATACTCATATAAATTTGTGCATTTTTCAACTAGTTAGGAAGGGATCTTCAGTATAACTTAAAAAAAAATCAGATCTCAAGCCAACAAATGTCATCATCAAATCTCTTGGTACACTGTTCAAGAACAAAATCCATTTGAATTATTGGTCCTCAAAAATATCAAGCACCAGAAAGTATCAGGTGCCATATTACTTACAGATCACAGAATCAAATTGACCGAGTTGGTAGAATGCTTCTTCAGTGAAGCCTTTAGTCAATAACATGCTTAAAATAAAAGTCAAAGCAGTGTTCCAACCACTTGATTACTAACCAAGCAGATTTTTTTAAAGTTTAGAAACTCTAAAAAAAAATGTTTCATTTACAAATACAGAAGGAACAAAACACCACTGCATTAATCCAGAAAGAGTCAAAACAAAATTGCAAGGACAAAAGGGAAATATCAAATTTAAGTTAATTTTGCTGGTCTTACAGCTTCTAAAATCCCACATTTATTTGCTGAAAATGCCAACTCTTGAAAGCCTGCATCTACTAGTCATCCATTAAATGACCATTTTTGAACATGCCTTGTTTTTTATGAATAGCATTTTACTTCACTGTCTGTCCATATAACCTAGACAGTTCTCACTTTGTGCAGTCATTCACTTAATACCATCAAATCATGGTTAAAGGAATCACCACATTAATTAAGAGGAACAACAGATGAAGTCACAACACTATTAAATACAGCATAATAGGCTCATGGACACCACTATCACAAGACTTTCAGTCATAAGATAAAAAGGCATATCGATTCTGCTTGGAACAACAAAATTAGGTTAACAGTATATTGTTTACTCACAATTAGGTTGAAATGGCTACTAAGAAAAAAGTTGTGGTGAATGATCCAAGCTGACTGGCATATCTAGTCTGGTAAATTGACAGGATCTTTTCTAAAGGAGCATAGCCAGATGGACATCTCACTATTATCCATAGGGGAAAATCATGAAAAATTGGGTTTGACTGTAGAAGTAATATTAAGTGCAGTAATTTATGTGAATTGTTTATCATGTATGCTCAGTTTCTAACCATTACAGTAACAATTATGCATAATATTGAACTTTTCAGATTAATAACAACAACAAAAAGGTTCGAAACTTTCTGAGAAAGGGATCCTTCCGCTAGCTTGGTCATGTGGTTCTCTGTTCCATAACTCTTAGCGAAGGATATCCTTCTGAATACCTAGCGTTGGGAACCAAACAGGGCTGGCATACTCCCCATCTCCCTCCCCTCCTCCCACGATTCCAGGACATAGTGTACTGTTTCCAATATTTCTATAACATAAATGGAAGACAATGCTTGGAGGCTTCATCACACCTGTGGCTTCATTTCTAAGGGTACAGATTGCAGTCCGTCTTGCCGTCTCATCGTGGCTGACTTTTGTTCATGTCTTCCAAAGGAGGTCCACCAAAGTTGCTTTGCTCTCATTGTCTTGACATTACATTGGAGCAGATGGGTGGCTATTTGATTCTCTCTCCAAATCCTGAGGAAACAGTGGGGGTCCCTATTTTACAGATATAATTCACTATCATTCTATATGGATTTCCTTGCCATTCCCAATGAAATCCCCCCATTCTAGATAGAACTTCCCAGCATTTTAGATGAAACTTTATCATTCTGAGTGGAACTCCCCCACATTCTAGGTAAATTAGGAATAACATCTGGCACGTGGATGGTGTACTAAGGCTTGCAAATCACTTTACACGTATTATCTCATGTGATCATTGTATTTAGTCCTATGGGATAGATTCTACAGGCATTACTGTCCTCATTTCACAAAGGAAGAAACCAAGGCTAAGAGGAATTAAGTGACTTCTCCATACTAAGTATTGGAGTAGGATCTGAATCCAGGATTTCCCGTCTCCAATTTCAGTGATCTTTCTATTAAGCCATGCTACTTCCCCACCAATCCAGATGACGCTTTCCCACATTCCATATGGAATTTGGAACCCTGGAGAATGGAATCCTTCTATGGATTCACATCTTCTCTTTCCCAGTTCCACGGGGGAAATCAAGGACAAGAACAAGAGCACGTGGAGAATCAGCTAATGTCTTCCTTATGGAAGCCAAAGGTAGAAGAGGAGAGAAAGAATTGGGCACCTAGAAGTTTCTATTCAAAAACAGAGGTTTAGGTCTATAGGGTCCATGGGGGTGCCTGATTGAAAAGGGATGGAGGAAACATAAATCTTCCTGAGATGTCTCATTCATGCACATACACAGATGTGTACATGTATACATATATGTGTATATGTACATGGGCATATGTATATGTATCTAAAATAAGACATCTTTGTCCTATCCTTGATTTTCCCTCTCTTATTCCTGCCTCCAGAAGATGCAGGGCAAGGAGGATGTTTTGGGGTTTTGATGGGCAAAAGCTGCTAACAAGGATTGTGAGAATAAGTTACGTTGTTGCCTACTTTATCTGTTTGCTTTCTATGGCAGCCTGGACACCACATCCCGTTCACCATTATGTGGACTCAGTGTAGGCATTATTTGGGCAACCTAGCCTAGGCCAGGTGCAGCTCCCAGCAGAGGCAGAGTGATAAAATGGAAAGAGGACTAGTTTGGAGGCTGGGAGATAGGAGTTTGAGATCCACCTTGAGTAAATAACATTTTGAGTGTCAGTTTCTTCCTCTATAAAATAAGGCCTTGGACTAGATGGCTTCTGGAAAACTACTAAGATTTTAGCTCTGACATTCTATGGGCCATGAACTATCCCTGCCTTCACCATGTACAGGGTTCCTAGCCAGGCAGTTCCTGTTCTGCCAGGAATTGGTCTTAGCCTGCTTATTGAACTCAAGGCCAGAAGTGACCCAAGGAGAAGAGATTTTTGATGTGGGAGGAAGATGGCCTAGGATGAGTCTGAAGTGGGTGTGCTGTTGGTGGAGGACATGGGAAAATCCCCGTAGCCAGGGCCTCTGGGAGAAGTAGGGGTTAGAAAGGAACCAGTCTTCTGAGTTTCTGTCCTAGACCAGAGAAGGGACTCCCTGGGGACAACATTCTGGTTGCATCCATTGAAACTCTTGTGAGCTCCTGCCCTGGGAGGTCTAGGAGATAGAGGGGACATGAGGTTCAGCTCCCCTCAGTTTTACAGAGAGAGTCACTGAATCCCAGAGGGTCTAAGTCATTTGTCCAAAGTCACATAGGTAATAAATAGCAGGCCTGAGATTCAAACTCAGATAATAATTGTAAGCTAGGATTTTTTTTTCATGTTAGAATATAAATTCTTTGAGGATAAGAACTGTTTAATTTTTGTTTTTATGTCCCTAGCACCTAGCCCAGTGTCTGGAACTTGGTGGGCATTTAATAATGCTTTTTGATTGATTGATTGAAAAAGTTGAATAGAGAGTGGTTTGAATAGAAAATAGTCTGAATTGGAGCATCAAGGAGGGCAGGGAATGGTAGCACAGAGTACAGTGTTACCAAAGGTGCAGTTGCACTGGGAAGTCACTTGCCCAAGGTCACATGGCTAGTAAGTAGAAAAACCAGGACTAGAACCCAGGCTCCTGGCTCCAACACATCTCTCAGAGAGCCCATAGCAAAGGACATTAAGGTGAGGAATGGGCACAGTGCTTGCGATGGGAAGCACCATCAATGTTTTATTGCCTTGTGACAAAGCTCTATTTGTCCCCTCCTACTTAAGGCTCTGACACATGTCTTCTACTCCAAATTCAAGGCTCCAATCCAACTTTACAAATATTATGGATACAGACTGGGCAGACTCTGGTGAAGTTTGGAGGTTATGGTAGAAGAGGAGGGGTGAAGTTGTGAGAGTAAAGAAGGGAGGGCCCCTCTGGAGTTGTCCTACCTTTCTTAGTTCTGACCAGAGAGCTGGTTCTCAGGCTTATGACTGTTAGTTAGAAGGGATTTTAGAGATCATTTTGGGATCCTTTTTGAGAGCCTAGCTGGTGCCTTGAGAGAGACAAAGGATTCAGAAAGAAAAGAGGTATCTGGTCAATGACAAACATAGTGTGACTCAATGCCCAGGTCCACTGCCCCATTTGCTTGAAAGTTTCACTCTCTTTTACATTTCTAGAAAATGGCAGATGTTGCTTCCTTGACCACTGATAATAAGACTAGATATAATTCTCTGGTAATGAATCCAGAATTACAGCCAGTATTCCCCTAAGTTGGTTTTGTTGTGTCCTCAAGGCTTTTCCCCCTATAGTTCAGGTTGTTCTGTCTTTTTTCTCCTTGACTTTTTTTTCTGGGAACTAAGTATTGACACCACCATCAATTCCTATAGTTTTCTTACCATGGCCCCACTCTCTGACCATCCACTCCTCTGAAAACTTGTATTCCATCCCTTATATTTGATAGGTGAGTTTTTCTTTTTTTGCCATATCTTGCCAGGAACTGCCTTCCTCCCTCTCTCCTGCTTTTCAGAATATCTTTATGTCTTACATTTCCCTATTAGGACTCAAGCTCTTAAAATTTAAGGGACTGTGTTGTTTGTTCTTATTTGTGTCCCCAGTGCCAATCAAAGTGCTTGGCACATAGTAAGTACTTTATAAATACTATCTATCTATCTATCTATCTATCTATCTATCTATCTATCTATCTATCTATTTCTTCTCTTATATAGTCTACAATAACATAAGACCCACATTAGGGTGTAGTAGTAAAACTGGATTTGGAGGCAAAGGACCTCAGTTCAAATATCAGCTTTGCTATACTACTTATTGGACAAGTTGCTTCCCCTTTAAAAGGACTAAATAGCATTGGACTAAATTATCTCTAAGACTCTTTTTAGCACTAGAAATCAAAATCCTGTGAACAAGAAACTCCTTAAGGGTGACAATGCTGTTTACATCCATAAAAGTATAAAGTGGCAATCAGTACCATGGACGTAGTAGGGGGGGCTTCCTGAGAGGAAAGAGGACTTGAAAAGAGTCTTAAGGGAAAGGCTTGAGTTGACCAGAGGTGGAAACTTGGGATCTGTTCCCAGATATATAGGATAATCTAAAAATTGGGCTAAATTTTAATAAAAATGAATTATTATTTGTAAAACACTGTATAAATGTTAGTTGATGTTGTTGCTTTTATTATTACATAGTTGTTTGCATGTTGTGCCCATTTGAATGGTAGTTCCTTGAGGTCAGTTTTTATCTTTCAATTTTTTTTTTTTTTGCTAGGCAGTGGGGTTAAGTGACTTGCCCAGGGTCACACAGCTAGTAAGTGTTATATGTCTGAGGCCAGATTTGAACTCAGGTCCTCCTAAATCCAGCGCTGGTGCTCTATTCACTGTGCCACCTAGCTGCCCCCTGTTTTTGTCTTTCTTTGTACCCCCAATGTTTAACACAGCATCTGGTATATAGTAAATGCTTAAAAATGCTTATTAACTGACTGACTTGTTGAGGTGGGAGGAGGCGGATATGTGGACACAGACCTGATGGTTCTCTGGGGAAAGACCCTGTGGACTTCCCTCTAGCTTAAGATAGTAATAGGATAATAATGTCTGACCTGCTGGGCTGAAGTTGTGTCAGCCCAGAGAAGGCCTACCTGAAGGCTTCATGTCTTCCAAGGCTTTCATGCAGCCTCTGAGCTTGGCCACATTCTTAAGGGTGGTTCCTGCCCCCTTTCAGTCCCCTTCCTGCTTCTGTAGAATTCTACTTTAATTTATTCTATCTCTGATGTATTGATTGTGAAGCATGTCAAGTTGGATGCCGTTTGGGTTAATGTCTTCCAATATTCCTAAAAGAGGAATAAAACCTTTATAAAATTTGCATCTTTGCCTCCCCCTCCAAATTTCCAATGGGAACCTGTAAGTTGCAAGAGAGTAATTCAGGAATCTGGGCAGTCTTCATTGGGAGGGAATCTGGAGAGAGAAACAAAGAGTTAATGAAGACCACAAGAGAGCTAGAGAAGTAATGGAGAGAGCAGAGGTCACAAGGGAGGTCCCAAATGAGAATCTACAGAGGCAGGTTGTCTGGAAAACTGAAGTTTTCAGCCATTAGCCATCCCTAATCTTTCTTCTTCTGTTCCTCCCTGTACCTCTCCTATCTGCCTTCACAGGCTGGCAGAGCTTAGAGACTGGTTTTTCTCTGGTCAGAATGAGACCTCCTCCTTGGAGACCCAGGTCTCCTTCATCTTTCCCTCTCATAAACTTCCATAGATCATAGCGTGTCAGATGGATCTGAAATGAACCTTAGTACCTAGAACACATCCTTAGAGCTAGAGATGAGCGTAGAACATAGGACAAAGTGTGTTAGAAATGGAAAGGACCTTAAAAGCGAAGGCAGAATGTCTGAGCTGGAAAGGGCCTTAGAGACCAACGAGTCCACTCCCCTCATTTTAGAGATGGATAACTGAGGCTTAAAGAGGGGAAATGGCTTGCCCATTGTTCCAGTGAGTCCAGGGGCAGGGCCAAGACTCCTTTGTCTCCCAGGATTGTGTTTAGAATTGCGGGCAGTTAGCTTCATTTTGGCCATTTTGATATCCTAAGAGGACGTTGCTGCTAATTCCAGGTATTTCCTAGTCTTGAATCAAACATAGATTCCATGTTAATGTGACACTTTAGAAGACCCCAGAGCTGGCAACATGAATGACGGGAAGATCCTTGGGTCATAGATATAGAAGTGGAAGGGGCTTAAGAGATCATCCTGTCTAATCCTCTCATTTTAGAGAAGAGATAAATGAGGGTCAGGAAGGTTGTGTGCCCAGGGTCAGGCAGGTAGCAAATACGAGCATCAGGATTTCAATCCAGCTCTCTGACTTCAGGTTCAATGGCCTTTCTGCCGTACTGTGCTGTGGAGTCAGGGGGCACACTGGGAGGCCTTGGAGGACCCAGAGCCTTCAGGTAAGCCTTATTTGTCAGAGATGACACAACTTCAGCCTGACAAGTCAGAGATATTATCCTAGGATCAAGCTAGAGAGGGGCCAGCAAAGTCCTCCCCAGAGGTTCATGGTGCCTGTGCACACAGATAACCAACTTCTTCCCACCGTCAATAAGGACTTGTTACACACATCCGACCTCAAGATTTTGAAATAGAAAAGATCACCAGTCCTTTCTTATTTTTAAAAATCTGTGGTGTGCTTCAAAATGTCTCAAATTCTCTTTCCATGGAGGTAAGTTCTAGATCTGATATGAGTAGAATTTATAGATGTAGAATTAAAGAATTATTTAAAGGAATTAAATATTCCCCTCTATCATCCTGAAACATTTTTTTCATATGTTGCAAGCATTTATTAAGCTCCACTTTGCATTTGCTTCTCTACTTGGTCTTAATCCCACAGAACAAGATGCTCCCATGCCAGGTACTCCATGGGTTCCCCACATAGTAGGTCCTTAATAAATGTTTATTGAATTGAATCTTGCTATGTTCCAAGCATTGCACTTTACAAATATTATCTCATTTGATCTCCACAACAACCCCAGGAGGCAAGTATTATCCCCATTTTGTAGATGAAGGAACTGAGGCAGACAGAGATTAGGTGACTTGTTCAAGGTCACAGAGCTAAGAAATTTCTAAGGCTGGATTTGAACTCAGGTCATCCTAATTTCAAGCCTAGCACTCTATCCACTGAGCCACTTAACTACCTCTTTGCTTGTCCTAAGCAAAACAAAACAAGAAACAAAAACAAAAAACCTCTCACTAAGAATTTACAAAAATATTTATAGCTCTGTTTGAGGTGATAAAGAATGGGAATCTGAGGGGATGCCTATAAATTGGGGAATGGTTGAACACGTCATATAATGCTGTTGTGTTATTCAGATGGGTCAGGAAGACTCATCCTCATGAATTTAAATCTGGCCTCAGACACTTACTAGCTGTGTGACCTTGGGCAAGTCACTTAACCCTGTTTGCCTCAGTTTCTCATCTGTAAAATGAGCTGGAGAAGGAGATGGCAAACCCCAAATGGAGTCACAGAGAGTTGGACATGACTGAAGCAACACTACAACCACCTCCTGCATTTAAAGTTTCTCTCTCTCTCTCTCTGTCATCAGGAATACTTAGAAGCCTTTTATTTCTTTGAAGATCCTTTTTTTGCTGTGTAGGATTATACTCAGTTTTGTTGAGTAAGTTATTCTTGAATGTAAACTGATATCTTTTGCCCTCTGGAGTATCATATTCTAAGTTCTCCTTTATATCTGTGGCTTCTAAATCATATATGATGCTGACTGGGACTCCTCTGTACTTGAATTATTTCATTCTGGTTGCTTGCAGTATTTTTTCTTTGAACTAAAAAACTCTGGATTTGTGGCAGCTAGGTGGCATAGTAGATAGAGGGCCAGGCCTGAAGTCAGGAAGACTCATCTTTTTGAGTTCAAATCTGACATCAGACACTTACTAGCTGTGTGACCCTGGGCAAGTCACTTGACCCTGTTTATCTCAGTTCCCTCATCTGTGAAATGAGCTAGAGAAGGAAATGGTAAACCATTCCAGTATATTTGCCCCCCCCAAAAAAAAACAAAACCAAAAACCAAATGAAGTCATAAAGAATTGGACATGACTGAAAAATGACTGAATGACGGTTCTTGGGAGTTTTCATTTTGGAGTTTCTTTCAGGAGGTGCCTGATAGATTCTTTTTATTTCTACTTTTTCCCTCATTCTAAGGGATATGGGTGGTTTTCTTTTAAGACTTCTTGAAATATGATATCTAGGTTCTTTTTAAAATATCTTTCAGGTAAGTGCAATGATTTTTAATTGTTTTCTCCTCAATCTGTTTTCCAAGTCAGTTTTTTTTTTTTTTTGCTGTGAGGTACCTTACATTTTCCTCTTCTTCTTCTGTCTTTGATTTTTCTTTTCTTTTTCTTTTTGTGAGGCAATTGGGGTTAAATGACTTGCCCGGAGTCACACAGCTAGCAAATGTTATGTGTCTGTGGCCGCATTTGAACTCAGGTCCTCCTGACTCCAATGTCGGTGCTCTATCCACTGCACCATCTAGCCACCCCTGTCTTTGATTTTTAAAAAAATATTTCTTATTGTCTAATGGAGTCATTGGATTCTATCTGGTCCCTTCTAACTCTCAGGGAGTTTGTTGCCTGGGTAAGGTTATTTACCTTTTGTGCCAAACTATTCATTTATCTTTCCAATTTTTTCTTTCATAGCTCTAATTTGTTTTCCATTTTTTTCCTCAACAATTCTCATTTCATTTATAGAAACTTTTAAAAACTCTTGCTTTATCTCTTCCAAGAATTCTAGTTGAATGTATGCTTAAGCTGCATTTTTCTCTGAGACATTGCTTGTAGATGTCTTAGAGTCATTCTCTTCTACTGCATTTGTGTCTTGAGCCTGCCACCATAATAGTTCATTATGGTGGGTTCCTTTTTTTGTTTGCTCATTCTTTCCATCTACTTCCTGACTTTGAATGTGGTGTTGAGATGGTGCTGGACAAACTTCTGGAGGGAAGGTCTGACCTGGGGCTCTTGCTGCTTTCTTGGGCCCTGAGGCTCATGACAGACAAAACCCACAATAACCACTGCTCCTGAGGCACTGGGTAGCTCAATGGATAGAGCGCTGGGCCTGGAGTCAGGAAGACCTGAGTTCAAATCCAGTCTCAGATACTTATTAGCTGTGTGACCTTGGACAAGTCACTTAATCTCTGTTTTCCTCATCAGTACAATGGATATAATGATAATATCTATCCCCCAGGTTTTTTGTGAGGATCAAATGAGATAATAATTCTAAAGTGCTCAGCACAGTGCCTGGCACATGGTAAGCACTATATAAATAAATATTAGCTATTATTTATTAAATGAGATATTTGTCAAAAGTACTTAGGATAGTACCTGGCACACTGTAGGCACTACAGAAAGGCTTATTCTCTCCCTCATCTCCCCCCCACCCCACACGTTAACTTTTATCTCCAGAACACCTTACTCCCTCCTTCTTCCCAACATAAACCTTGGGTGGTCTGCTCTTGTGTCAGGGGAGGAAACCTGCTGTAGTGGAAAGAGCAAGAGCACCTGGGTTCAAAGCCCGCCTCGGACAGTTACTACTTCGCTAACCTCAGGTGAGTCATTCACCCCCCTGGGCCAAGGTCTCCTTGCCTGTAAAGGAAGGGGTTAGGCAGAGATAACCTCTACCAGTCATAGATCTCTGATCTGACTATCTAGAGTGGCAGGCAGAAAAGGCCACTGAGAAGCTTCCAGGAGCTCGGAGCTCCTTCAGTAAGAACAGAGGCGCATCTCACCCTAGCTCCTTAATTACGTGAGCTCATATCTTCCTCAAGTCCATTTTGTTACCTGATTCTTACTGCAACCTTGGGAGGGAGATGCAGCAGAGGGTTTTATCCCCATTTTACACATAAAGAAGCTGAAACCTCAAGGGGGAAATGACTGAAATAACTGATTCTTAAGGCCACCGAGCTAGGATGCTGTTACGCTGGGAATCAAACCCAGGTCTGACTCCTAGTCAAGGGTGTTTTCACTGTATCAAACTACATGCCCTAAAAAAATCACGTAGGGCGTCTCTCACCAGCCTAGGTATGTGGCATACCATAGGTGCTAGGTTGAAGGTACGCACATAGGCTAGGCAGGTACCACAGTAGATGGGAGAACAACTCTGACCACCCCCTCCAGCCCATTAGCCACCCTCATACGCACTGAAAAATGCGCCATTCAGACTGGTATTGATTGTCTTCTCCCCCACCTAAATGCCCCTCACCCTCCAATGGTCCTTCATTTTCACCTTATCCTGAGGGCAGCAGAAGTGATGGCCATGATGGTGACAAGGAAGGTTGCAGAATCAGCATCCTGGTTTGCCCATTCTTGGTGCTTGGCCTTGACACCTGACCCCTTTATGGCTGCTGCCATAAAGTTTGAGATCTCATATTCTGCCCCCAGATTCTGGGTTCTGGATACCACCTCGGCTCCCTAGACTCTCTTGTTTATAGAGAATTGGAGGTGGAAGGAGGCTGAGCTGAGAGCAGGTCTAGGAACCTGGATATAAGAAAAAGGCCCTTTTGAGGCCCAGAATTTATCTTTCTCTCCATTCCCCAGTCTCTTGCCCTGTGACCCCACAGGATTGTCCCAGGTCTTCTTTGTGTGTGAATCTGAGGACTCAGTGGTCTATCTCCCCTTGGATTGCCTCTCTACTCTTTTTTTTTTGCATCTGGGACAGAACCATGAAGACTATAAGGAAGCTGAGGAAGGGGTGGGGCCAGATGAGCTTCATGGCTTTGCCAAGGAAAGGTAGTTGAAGCCTGCCTAGGTCAGAAGTTTGGAGTGAGGAAGAGAGGGGGAGCTTATCTCTAGGTGGCCCTTGGGAGCAGTAGGGTCCAGCTCTTTTGAGGATTCCATCTCCCTAGGGGTTCAAGCCTGTGGACCATTATGCTGTCCTTGGGGGTAGTGCCCTGAGTGGGACAGTAAGTGCCCAGGTCCCCAACTATGAAGCTGGCAAGGTCAGGTTGCTCTCATCCTCTCCTTACCCCCTGCAGCTCCAGGCACAAGAAAGATCAAAAACACTCTCAGGATTCTTTTAGTCATATATTTGAGACCTGGGAGAGTCAAAGCCCTAGTTCTGGGAATGGTCCAAGAAACACTCAGCACCCTGCCCCACCCACCCATCCCAGCAAGGGACTAACTGACCCTGAGATCTGAGGAATAAAGAACTGGGACCAGAAAGAACCTATGTGTACTAAGGCTTTGTGGTACCGGAGATTAATATTTGCTCTGATTCAACCAGCACATTCCTACCTAATCCTAATAGCGTTTACAGTATTGACTACTCACTGTGTACTAGAGATTAAGCTAGATGCTGGGGATACAAATACGAAAATGAAATAACCCCTAGCTTTAAAAAGGTTACATTATATGGTTGGCAGGCTTAAAGGCTTCCTGGAGGAGCAGAGGAATTCAGTACTACTATTAATAAGGAGGCAATGTGGATCAATGAAAAAAGTCCTGACTCTGGAGTCAAGAAAACTTCAGTTCAAATCTTTCCTCTGACACTACCTGTCAGGCCACCTGACTTCATTGGATCTTAGTTTCATCATCTGCAAAATGAAGGCTTTGGAATAGGTAACCTCTGAGGTCCCTTCCAGCCTCATATCTGTGATTCTATGATTCTAATGTGATGCTAGCCCCAGCATGGGACCCTTTGTTGGATGGTTCAAGTGCTGCCTTCCTTGTCAGTATTTTTTTGTCATACTCTTTCTTATTTGTACTCTTTTTCGTGTCTTAGATAACCCTTTTCCTAAGAGGCTGAAGTAGCTCTGGAAGGTACCAGAGGGTGCTTAGCTTACAAACACAGCCTCTTACTTCCAACAAAAAGTCCATGCATCCATGGTACTAAAGCAGCTTTCATTAATCCTTTGTTGGCTATGTCCAAATTTAATTTAAGGAATGAAATGGAATATGACTAGAAACACTGCTAGAAATGTGGAATTTGCTGTCTCTATACAGTCATAACTTGTACTCGATCTTTGGATTTCACTTTCTCAATTTACTTCCTACTGAAATCATAGATTCAGAGACTTAGAATGCTGTGATCATAGAGGGTTGGGGGGTTTTTTATTTTGTTTTTTAGTACATAGACTAAATGAAAAGGAAACTAGACCAAATACTCCTGTATGGAGATATTCACCTCCAACCTTCCCATTGCCCTCCCATTCACACACACCATCGACTCCAGGAAAAGAAACGGAGGGAAGGCCTAACCTCCTTGTGTCTGGACAAGAAAAGAAAGTAGGGAAAATGATGAGGAACTTGCTTCCATTCTCCACTTCAGAGTCATGGACCAGAAAGGAAACCAATTTTCCCAGCTAAGCAGTCCAAGGGAATTCACATTAACTGACAGTGTCAGCAACTGAATCTTTCCTTTTGGAGGCTGCACTAACTTCTGCTGAATTACTGTCTATGATTTAGCGCTAGAAGCTCCCTCTATTGATTTATCAGCAACTTCTCCTGTCTAGAGCTTGTTTGTACGTAGTTGTTTGCACATTGTCTCCTCCATTAGGCTGTGAGCTCCTTGAGGGCAGGGATTGTTTTTTGCCTTTCTTTGTGTCCCTAGCATTTAGCACCTTAATTGGCAAAGAGGAGGCACTAGATAAAGCTTTGTTGACTGTCTGACTCTCTTCGTGGGGCCTTGGTTCTAGGCGGCACTCATCCTGGCGTCATTGTATCTCTATGTGACTCTCAGTCATCCCTGGCCTCTCTTATCTCTTTTCAGGAAATCTGATCCATCTCCCAAGTTCAGGGGAAAGCTAATAATTGAAGAGATAAAGGGCAAGACAAATTCTCTTGGATTACAATGATGACTCCTATTTATCTAGCACTTTAAGGTTTATAAAACGTCTGAGTGCCTCATGGACTATTCCCAGGACTGTGACTTTGGTCCTCTCAGGTCTCAAATATTTCCAAGAAGACCCTGAGAGAGTCTTTGATCTTCCCTGTGGTTAGAGCTGGCGGAGATAAGGTCTCAAATATTTCCAAGAAGACCCTGAGAGAGTCTTTGATCTTTCCTGTGGTTAGAGCTGGAGGGGGTAAGGTGATAATCAACATGGTAGATAATGTATGCATTTTTATTCTATTTTACAGGCATTACTAGTAGTCCAGGGCCTCCCTTAAGCTCTAGGCTTGCAAGGTTTGCATTCACTTCCAGAGGCTAACCCAATAGGGTTATTTTCTCTCTCTGATTCGTGTCCCCACTTTGGCATTTTACTTCGTAGAAATCTTCAGAGTAAAGCTGAAGTATGGTTCCTGTGTAGGTTTTCCTTCTGATGGGTAATTCCATTAATTCCAACTCTCATATAGGCATTCAAAGTGTAATATGCATATATCATATAAATCTATTTTTATTTCACTCATCTCAGATGATACTTGAGTAGCAAAGGACTCACAGGAGCCCATGGACAAATACAGAAACATAAAGCACTTGAAAAGCTCATTAGATTCCCAGTGGAAGATAGACACTTTGAGGGACTACTCAACAAATATTTCCTGTTCACCTTGGACCCACACCATCCCCATAACTCGCAGCAATAGCAAGGCTGGAAAGATTCAGACCTTATGTTCCTTCTCGAGGCATGGCATTAGTCCTTCAGCTGCAAGGTGATCTGGTGATGGTCCTTTTCCTCATCCAAAAACATGATGTTGAGGAAATTTGTTCCCTCTTGGTGGTTGGTGCCTGACTCTTGGACTCAGAAGTACTCATAAGGTAACCCTAAAGTAATGAAAAAATTCTTTCTCAGGAACTCTATAATATCTGACCTGTGTTCAGAAAAGGAAAAAGATAGGCAGAATAAGTTGACTAGACCCTCAATTTCTATGAACTCTCCTTTTACTACCAGGGTAAGCACAGGCTGCTTACCACATGCCTTTCCTACAAGTTACCATTTGTCAGCTTCTTATGAGGGAGGGAAGCCAGAAAGGGCTTTGAGCCTCAGTTTCCTTTCTTGTAAGGGGGATAATCACAAAAGCCCCTGATCAATTTAATGAGTCCTCCAGTCTATATGATGAGACTACAAAGTGCAGACCTATGTATGAAGGTAGAGATGGAGCAATATTAACTTGTAGGGAGGACACTTGGGAATGCTCTTGAATTTCCAATGAAGGTCTATCACCTCATGCTTCACTGGAAATCCAAGACAAAGAAAGTACTTAAAAATAATAATAATAATAAAAAAAGATGAACTGTTTCACAGATTTATTTTATAGATCATGAAAAAAAGTCAGCTCTTCCAAAAAGTGTCCTCCCTGATTCTCAGTCACCAATCATCTCAGAGGCAGTTCTGTTCACTGGGGAGCAATCAGAGGAGTTCCATGTATAAAACTGAGGTTCAGAGGTGAAGTGATTTACCTAGATTCACATAGCTAGTAAGTGGCAGAACCAGGGTTTAAAACCTTGTCTTTTGGCTCCAAGTCCAGTGTTCTTTCCACTATACCAATTCCAGTTCTTTTAAAAAAAATTTTGTAGGAATAAGAGGCAGTAGAGTACAGTGAAAGGAAATTGGATTTGGAATCAGAGGACATGGAGACAAGAAGACCAATGGCCACATGTCAGAGGGGTTTG